TAAATTTTAATTTTATAATTAATTAAATAATATAATATAATAAATGTTCGTAAAATAATAAATATTTACAACAGATATTTAAAAGCGCTTCATTTAATAATAAAGTGGTAATACAGAAATACCACAAATGCTCTTAAAATCTTCAAAAGGTCTTTTCTTTTGTAAGCATATCACAAAAGAACAACGGCTGGTTTTAAAAATAACATATGAAACAACAACACTGCTATCTTATTTAGTCCAACATTTTTGAAATTGCTTAACTAATAAGCAGCTCAAATCGTATGGTTACTAAAATTAAAAATTCGTCATTTGTGAACGTTTTGGAAACTACATACAAAATTTCAAGTTAACTGAATGAACTCGTTAATTATTCGTTTTTCGTTTCTTCATTGTTTGTAACAAATACCTTATTTTGTTCTATTTATTATTTTACTGTTAAAAGGCATGAAAATTCAAATTTTATTCACAATCGTGTAAAGAAAAAATGGAAACATATATTATTCATTTTCTAATATTATCTTTAAATTTTACTCACAACAAAAAACATATGTCGAAATCAGCATTAAATATATTTTTAAAGTGATGCCAATTTGTATCAACCAGACAATGCTGTTTTATATACAACTGTGAAAGAAAAAATTTCGGCTAATGTTACTATAAAAATAAAACATCAAAATATTCGTCAAAAATTTTAAGTAAAACGTTGAATAAATGTATTTCAATACACTAAATCCTTGTTTCGACACCATCCAACAATTGTTTAAAATGTTGTAATATCTTGTGGCACCTATCAACATAAACTTTAAAAAAATTATTGTATAGTTCTGAAAGAATGCTGTTCTAACCTTCTCAGCTAAAAACGGCACAAAATTAAATAAGGCTAAGATAGCTAAAATAAAAATAATATACATACTAGAAAATATTACTTAATTTTGAAAACTGAATGTTTAGATTAAAATAATTTAATCTGGATTTACTCTTATTTAATTTAGAGGTACGCAAAACGGCGATGTCAACCAAAATGTCACATCTATAAACATTTGTAGGGTAAAAGTCAATTTAATAAAAATCTTTTACATCCTGTATTCGGCGTAGTGGCATTTTGTTTTAGAATTTTGGTCTTACGCAAAATAATTTTATGCAAAAAGTTATTATTTTAGATCATATTTAGTTGATTATTGTGTAAAATTTTTATTAAAAATGTCTGGTACCATCGAAATCCCTTTACGGGACACCGATGAGGTGAGTAAATGTTTTATTTAATTTGTGTTATAAATTAATTTATTATAAAAATTTAAAGGTAATTGAGGTACATCCAGATCAGTTACCGGAAGGTCAAGAAGTTTTAAGCATCTTGAGACAAGAGCGTTCGCAACTAAACACATGGGTCAACGTTGCGGTAAGTCAAATTTGACATTGTAATTTGTTCCAAAATTATGAAAATATTTGTTTTTAGTTGGCTTACTATAAACAAGGCAAAACCAATGATTTCATTGAATTGCTGGAAACTGCACGCGATGAGGCCAATAAAGACTACAGAGAATTTGACAAGGACCAAATGCGCTGCTATGATATGCTTGCAGCGCATTATGTCCAAGAAGCAAATAGGGAAAAGTTGAAGGATAAAAAGCGTGAACTTTTTATGAAAGCTACTAATTTATATACGACAGCAGATAAGATTATAATGTACGACCAAAACCATCTATTAGGGCGTGCATACTTCTGCCTGCTCGAAGGTGATAAAATGGAACAAGCAGATGTGCAGTTCAATTTCGTTTTAAATCAGTCGCCATCGAATATACCCTCGCTGCTAGGCAAAGCCTGTATTGCATTTAATAAGAAAGATTATCGAGGTGCTTTAGCATTTTACAAAAAGGCTTTACGTACAAATCCTAATTGTCCCGCAAACGTACGTATGGGAATGGGACATTGCTTTCTTAAAATGAATAATCAAGAAAAAGCAAAACTGGCTTTCCAACGAGCACTTGACTTAGATCCCAATTGTGTAGGAGCACTTATTGGCCTTGCTATACTTAAACTGAATTTGCATGAGCCCGATTCAAACAAAATGGGCGTTCAAATGCTTTCTAAAGCCTATACAATTGACTCTACTAGTCCAATGGTGTTAAACCATTTAGCAAACCATTTTTTTTTCAAAAAGGATTATTCGAAGGTCCAACATTTAGCATTACATGCCTTTCATAATACCGAAAATGAAGCAATGCGTGCTGAAAGCTGTTACCAATTGGCACGCAGTTTCCATGCACAGAACGATTTTGATCAGGCGTTTCAGTACTACTATCAGTCTACACAAATTGCTCCATCTAATTTCGTCTTACCACATTATGGCTTAGGTCAAATGTATATATATCGTGGCGATACAGAAAATGCAGCCCAATGCTTTGAAAAAGTACTTAAAATACAACCAGGAAATTATGAAACAATGAAAATTTTGGGTTCGCTTTATGCAAATTCAAGTTCACAAACCAAACGTGACATGGCAAAAGCCCATTTAAAGAAAGTTACTGAACAGTTTCCGGAAGATGTTGAAGCTTGGATTGAGCTTGCACAAATTTTAGAGCAGAATGATTTACAAGCTTCGTTGGGTGCTTATGGTACAGCCTCTTCTATATTACGCGATAAAGTGAAAGTTGATATTCCAGCCGAAATCCTTAATAATGTTGCTGCTTTACACTATCGACTAGGCAATCAAACAGTTGCCAAAGAAAAATTGCTCGAAGCTCTAGAACGTGCTAAAAAGGATACTCCAAATGATAAACCATATTTTGATTCAATTTCGGTAACCATGACTTATAATCTAGCACGTTTAAATGAGTCTATGTCTTGTTTCGATGTAGCAGACAAATTCTATAAGGATATTTTAAAGGAGCATCCTAATTATATTGATTGTTATTTACGATTAGGCTGTATGGCACGCGACAAAGGTTTAATTTTTGTTGCTTCAGATTTTTTCAAAGATGCACTCAATATAAATAATGACAATCCCGATGCAAGGTAAATATATATAGTATAATGTTTGTTAGATTAATTTATTGAAACTTTTTATAGAACACTACTTGGTAATCTCCATTTAGCTAAAATGCAATTCGCTTTGGGTCAGAAAAATTTTGAAACTATATTGAAGAATTCGGGTACATCAACAGATGCATATTCACTCATTGCGTTGGGTAATTTTTCACTGCAAACACTACATCAATCTATAAAAGACAAAGATAAAGAAAGAAAGCATCAGGAAAAAGCTTTATCCATATATAAGCAAGTTCTACGCAACGATCCTCGTAATATATGGGCAACTAATGGCATTGGTGCAGTGCTTGCCCACAAAGGTTGCATTATTGAAGCAAGAGATATATTTGCACAAGTGCGAGAAGCTACTGCTGAGTTCTCTGACGTTTGGTTAAATATAGCACATATATACGTAGAGCAAAAACAATACATCAGCGCCATTCAAATGTATGAGAATTGTATGAAAAAATTCTACAGACATCACAATATTGATGTAATGCAATATCTAGCACGTGCATATTTGCGAGCAAACAAAATCAAGGATGCAAAACTGGTACTATTGAAAGCAAGAAGAGTTGCGCCCCAAGATAGTGTTCTACTTTTTAACATAGCAGTCGTTTTACAACGTTTGGCCATGGTCATATTGAAAGATGAAAAATCCACGCTGGAAGTTGTGTTACAAGCTGTGCATGAATTGGAATTGGCACAAAAATATTTTCAATATTTATCAATCTATGGTGATAAGAGTCGTTTTAATGTTGATATTGCTGGTTTGGAAGCTAATCAGTGTCAAGATCTATTATCACAAGCACAATATCATGTTTCTAGAGCACGTCGTATTGATGAGGAAGAGAAGACTCTGCGTCGCAAACAGGAAGAGGAACGAATGGCATTTAAATTAAAACAAGAGGAAGAACGCAAAAAGCGTGAAGAGGAACAAAAAATGTCACGCGAACAGCTTTTGGCCAAACGTCAAGAATTTGTGGAGAAAACTAAAAATATTTTAATTATTGCTGAAGCACCCCCTGAGAAGGAAAGAAAGAAAGGTGGCGGTCGACCGCGTAAAGATGACTATGTATCTGATTCTGAAAGTGGAGAAAGAAATGAAGTTGATGGTGCAGAACGTTCACAGAAGAAAAAAGGTGAACGTAAGAAGGGTGCAGGACGTAAACGCAAGAGGATCGCTGATAACGACGAAAGTGATAGCGATGGTGAAGCACCGAAAGAAAAACGTCCAAGTAAAAAGAAGGTCAAAGAGGTCAAGGAAAAATTATCAGCTAAACAACGGCTTAAAATTGTTTCAAAGGAAACGATTTCTACAAGCGAATCGGAAAGCGATGCAGGCGGTCGCAAACGCAACAAAAATAAGGATGATAGCGATAGTGATAGAAGTGGTGATGATACTGGTGTTGTTAAGCGTTCTAGAAAACGAATCATTTCAGGTGATGAATCTGATCGATCCAAGTCTGCGTCAAAATCACGTAGTGTAAGTCGTTCTGTATCCAGATCAAGATCACGATCTGTAGCTCGATCTAAGTCAGGATCTCGATCTCGAAGTAGAAGTAGAAGCGGTAGTCGCTCTGGTTCAGGCAGTAGATCACGTTCTCGTTCTAGATCTGTATCTGGATCACGTTCACGATCTGCTTCAGGCTCCAGGTCACGTTCTCGATCAAAATCAGGTAGTCGATCTCGATCAAGATCAAAGTCAGCGTCACGTTCTAGATCAAAATCTGTCTCAAGATCACGTTCTAGATCACGCTCTGGATCTCGTTCCTCATCTGGAAGCAGATCACGTTCTAGATCGGTTTCGGGATCACGTTCCCGTTCTCGTTCAAAATCTGGTTCACGCAGTCGTTCCGGTTCACATTCTAGTAAATAAGTTGCAACTTTTAAATATATGTAATATCCATGTCAACATATATGAATTTATGAAAAAAATATGTAATAAATTAAATTTTAATAAACATATTAATATAAATTTCATTGAAGCGTTAATAGAAACGGAATATTAGTCGTACTTAAGTGAGTTTTGGTACACAAAACTGTCACTCAAACCTAACCTAACTATACATATATATTGATGACTTTTCCATAAAACAATATTTTAGGTATTTCGCAATTGTTTTAATGTATATCTATATCTATTTTTTTATATTAAATTTATTGTTTTTAAAAGCATATTAATATATATATGTATATAAATTTAATGTAACACCCCATTTTATTTGTTTGTCATGTTTTATTGCTTGATATTTTTGGTTTTTAATTTATTTGCATTTTGAAATTATTTTGATATATGCAATTATTTTTTCACTATCGACTTTTATTAATTTAAAGCAAAATTTAAAGCATTGTATCTTCCAAATTAAGTTTTATCGGATTGCGGTTATATTATGATCTTCTAACTAGGCGTGTTTATGTGTACCAAGTAAGTTTTTAGTTTGTAGCTATTTCTCGACTTAGGTTAACCAGTACATACTTTGTTGCACGAGAATCTTGCTTTTCATCGCTAGAGACTTAAGGCCGAGATCTATTGAGAACTCTGTTACAATAAGAACAAGTAACCTTTGTCGATAGACGACCCTATTCTATTGATGTTATATCCGTTGCAATATCAATAGATGAATTCTTAATACAAAATATAAATAATGAATATATCATGAAGGTAGGTCATGATATAAAGCTATTGAGATGTACAGCTGTGTAGCAAGCAATTGGAAATATTTTGATAGTAGTTGATTCCGTTCTTTTACATACTCTTCAGTAGAAGTAATCGCTAAAATAAATTTCAAATTTCTTCAAACTCCTTTTGATAAAACTCATATATTGCTTCTAAAAAAAACAATTTACTATTATTATTGTTATTGTTATACAAATTAATTACATAGGTTAAAACTACATAAACATACTGCATACATATATATACTATTATAAGTTAATTTACTATTAGCAACTTAAAATAATGTCGAGTTTTGTACAATCATATTGCTCACAATTCCGCCCATTGGTTTTGAATATCGCAGCACAAATGCATGGTCAATTTTTTTTGTATCAAGTTGTGCATCAATTTCTGGAAATTCTTTTTTCAATCCATTGAAATATTCCACCGGTACCCAACCATCAGTTGTGCCATAATAAAATGTCAACAGGTTTAAGTTCTGTTCAATAATATTTGTCTGCAGAAAACGTACACGTGCCATTTCGTCCTCTGCGAGAAATATAACTTTTTCTACAACTGATGCCTTTGAGTAACATAATGCTGCGCCACGAAAATGCGAAGGAATGGCCGATAATAAAAAATACAAATGAATAAAACACATGCGTATAAAAACTGGTAAGCGATTAAAAAGTACTATCAAAAAACCGAATATCCAATACATGGGTAGAGCAATTTTTGTAAAAACCCAACCATTTTGAGACTCAATCATACGTTCAACGGTGGGAAAAAGCATATAACATTTAATAACAGCTTGTCGTATATAATCATTTTCTAGCATTTGTAATATCATCCAAGCGCCAATGGAATGTCCAATAAGATGTATTTTGCAATCCTGCGGTATATATTTTTTTATAAATTCTATTTTATGTCGTATTTGTGCATTTAAATCGAACAATTCTTCATTGCCTTTCAATTGTGGTACCTCGCGTATGCTCGTAGCAGGAGGATCATCATGTCCCATGTGACCTAGTAGTACTTATACATTAGTAAATATTATAGAATTATTGAATTTATTCTTTACCTATTACCCATACTGGCATTTTGCATTCAAGACGTTGATAAAGTTCCTCAATGAACTCTGTGTAAAATCCAGGCACACCTGGATTACCAGTGATGCAAATAGCAATCTCTTTTTCATTATCTAATGATTCCTCTATCCAACGTCCTTTTGTATAAATATGTGTCGGAACATTGCATATATTCACAAATGCATCCTTCATGTTTTATTTAATTTTTTATATTTTTTACAATACGAAATTTCCAAAATCTATACTAATTAATATAATCGCTATCGACGTGACGTCAACGTCACCACAAAGGTCAATGACTAAATCCAAGAAACTTATTTCACTATTTTCATTCCATTTATTTTACGACGTGTAGAATTTAAGTTTTCGTTTCAGTTAATGAAACACATAATTTGGCAGAAAGATATTGATAATTTTTCGCGAAAAATTCTCCGCTTCACTCTCTTCGAGCCAGCATTTGAGTGCTTTCACTTTAGCGTTGCCATTTACCGGCAAAACATGCACAGCTGATTTTTGTTTTTGACGAAAACTCGTTAATGAATTTGACAAGGTGACAATAGTGTTACCAATTAAACTTTTTATTACTTTTTAATTTGTTTACATTTTTTTTGCTTTTATTATACGCAATTGCGATAAGTGACTCATTATTAAATAGTAATTGTTACTACCGGTTAACGGTGACAGTTTGTTGATCTCTGTATATGCAATTTTTTTTTAGATCTTAAAAAAATATTATTAATGTCATAGAAAAACATTGCAAAAATAATTACAATATTAATTAACACAATGTAATAAACTTTAATAAGATAGCACAAATTTATTATTGTTAATTCTGTTCGTTATAACAATATATGTTTTTAAATATTTATATTAAAATTAATCTAAATTTTTTAACTTCTTTCTCCAATATCCTAATATTCGCCAACTAGAAATTGCACAAAGCCAGGCTCTAAGAAGACTTTTCAAGGTTCTATGCTACATTAGGATGAATGACATCCTCAGGGACCTGAAGATTGATTCGATCAAAAAATACATAAAGAATAGAGCCTTGAAATTATTTACGCAAACTGACAAGCTTACCAACAACCGCGTTATAGAATCTCAGAATGGGGACAGAGTGGGAGGTATGCAGACCTGAGGTCAATTATTGCTTAGTCAGATTAAGGCGTAGAGAGGGGTTATGAAGAAACCTCGTAGTTAATAGAGAGTAAAAGTGCTCTAGTGCATTGACTCAACTAGCCTCAACATTATACAATATAAGTTTTTAAATATTTAAAATGTTTTATAACCCATTTCCTAATATTCATACAAAGATTTCAAAAAGTTTTCTTCATAAGTCCCTAAAGAATTAACATTTTATTCATTCATAAGAACTTATTTTATTAAAAAATTAGAACTTATGGAAAACAAGACTAAATGCACCAAAATAGATCAACCCATTATGGGTAGTAAAGAACAGTGAATTACCTTAAACTTACCAATTAATACATTATATAAAAATCGCTATTTACAAAATTTATTGTTATTTGTAGTTAAAATTTTCTACTTCTTTTATATATCCAACCATAACTCAAAAAAAAAATTTGCATTTGGGTTTGGATATTTTAATTTCTCTAATATTTATATATAAATTGATTAGTATATTATATAGAGTAGGATAGTTATTATATGTGGGTAAGCTAGACCATCAACACAGAAATTGGTAGGGCTAAGTATAGTTTTTATGTACTTTTGTAGCTATATTTGACCGGTACTATTTTCCAGTGACTAGCCCCCACTTTATCCGGGTATTATCGTTGCTGAATACACTGAGGACATGGCTTTATAACCATGTTTTTCGTTAAGAGGGCATCACATTGACAAAACTCCAGTTTGGTTGAAAAAACTGGAGGTTTAAGCATAAAATATTTCAGAACTTTCTAAACAAAATACGTAAATTGAACTCTGTCACGTCAGTATATAATATCCGAATCCACACAAAGAATTTAAAAAATGCTAATGTTCGACACGTATTTCTCTGTAAATTACTTAAAAATAATCTTCTGTAGAACACTGATGTTCCATAACGAGAGTATAAGCTTTATGACTCTAGATCACTTCCATCCTAAGACAAGTGTATCAATATATAAATGTTACAAAATTCAATAGAACGAATATCAACCGATTTTCAGTAGTAATCTTCTTCATGTGCTGACCAAGTTTTTACTTATATATAAACATACATATTTGGTTGCTAGCAGGACTATTATAGTAGATAGGCAATTAAAGTGAAAGATATATCGAATCTTTTTCAATTCGCCAAGAAATTCGTTTTGATTCCACATTTCTTACATTTGTAGGTGGAAAACCTGTCATATTATAACTAGCCGTTCGTATTTTTAAATACAATTATCTGACTAATACCAATGTTGGAAATATCGCAAAGTGTATTAAAGATTTGATTCCCCA